CCTCCAGCCCAGAGCGTCTGATTCAGCCTCTCTGGGCTGACGCCTGGGAAGCTCCCTGTGTCCCTCCCAGCCCAGCCCAGCCCAGGTGACTCCGAGGCTGGGAGCGCGCCGGTGACATCCTGGAAAAGCAGTTTAACAAGTTCCCAGGGCTGAGCGGAGACGGGAGTCACGAAGCACACGTGACTCAGACAGAGGCTCCGCCAGGGGGCGCGCTTGCGACGCCCGTGCCCAGACGCGGTCGCTTCGCGGCCAGACGCGTGAACCGGCAGATCTACTCTGGGGGAGCTCCTGCCAAAAAAATGAGGGGAGAATCTTTCGTTTGAAATATTTCATTTCAGAACGACTCTAATATTTGTGTGTTCACCCTCCCTCGCCCCTTCGACCCTCAGCGTGCGCAGTGTTAGCGCTGAGCGTGATTTAACCACCGAATAGCCAACCCTGACCGTCCCGGCTGCGCGTTACTTACGGCGACACCTGCAAGGGGCGTGTCCCCCGAGCCCCCTCCGTGACGAGCGACGTCCCTCCCCATCGCGGCTCGTATCTAGGGCTCGAGTAACACTGAGGGGGTCAAATACAAAGCTGGAAATAAGCCATAATAAAAACTACTGGAATTCTAAGCCACTTGTCTATAATTATCACAGATAAGCATTAGCATCCATGGCTTTTTATTTGTTAGCCGTTTAATATTATTACTGTAGTGAAATTTTATTTCAAATCTCTTAGCATCTCACAATTTTGAATTCATGCTGAATTCTTCCTGACACTTCAAGCAGGAGTTAATAGATTTTTCCCTTACTACCTTCCTCCGTGCAAATGAAGCCCTTCAGGAAATAGGGTTCGTTTACAGGTCAACGTTCCCTTCTGTGCATAATAGGGAAAACTCGCCCGCAAGGCGTGATAGCAGAGCGCTAGAAGATCAGGGAACATCCTCCACTGAAAATCTGAGCCGTTCCTCCCCCACTTGCCCTTTGGTAGCCATAGTTTGTCTTCTATGTCTGTGAATCTGTTTCTGGTTTGTAAATAAAATTTTTATCTTTTTTCAGATTCCACAGATAAGTAATTTCCTATGGTATTTGTCTTTCTGTTTCTGGCTTATTTTACTTAGTTTGATGATCTCCAGGTCCATCCATGTTGCTGCAAATGGCATGATTTCATTCTTTTTTATGGCTGAGTAGTATTCCATAATATAGATACACCACTTCCTCTTTATCCATGAGCATCTTTAAATGGCACTGGCATATCCTCTCATGTGTCTTTCTCTACATGTTAAGCGTGTTCCTATTTTCTTCTTCTTGTTTTCTTACTTGTCTGTAAGCTCTGCATACTCAGTACAGGAAGGGGAGTTAACCTTTGCATTTTTATGTAGCCTAAGTCAGCAGTCTTTTGTGATGGCTTACAGGACTTGTGCTGTGCTTGTTGCAGGCCTGAAGAGGCCAGGGGAGGGCGCTGTATCAGATTATTAAAGTGTTCATGCAGATAAGGATGCTGACCAGAGATGTTCTGCCCCCTGGGCTGGGGCCTCAGGGGGCCCCTAGCAGCCTCTGCTGGGGCAGACTTGGGCCCTCGCCTCACTCTCTTCCCCCCCCCCTTCTGTACCACTGGCTTCTCCCATAAGTGCCTCCACCAGGAAGCAAGAGGCGAGGGGTCAGCTCTGGAAGCACGTGATGTCAGCAGTTGCGGGGCACAGCGTAGAGGATGAGCCCCGGTCCAGGGGGCCTGGGCACAGCGCACGTGTGAGCAGTGCCGTGTGACGGCTTCTCTGTGCATTACACTCTGTTTGTTGAGTTTTTTTTTCCAGGGAGATAATAAATGAGTATAGTATTTATTTCATTTTGCACCATATTAAGTGTGTTTCATAGTGAGTAACAGTATGGAATCAATTTTCTTCTTTCTATTGGACTACCCTTAAAATTCCTAGGCACATATGAGCGTGATGAGCATTTATAATGGAAATAAATGCTTAATCTTATATTTGAAGCCACCATGATAAGCGTTGTGCCTTTTAAGAGTTTTTGAGAACTTTTCTGTCCAGGATAATAGCTGAAAGATCTTTTGAACATAGTGATCTATAAAGAATGTTTTACAAATTCTTAACTCACAGGAAAAGATTTGGTTTAAATATACATAAATTTTTTTGATTTAGTAAGTCTTCTGAATAGCATATTAGTTCTCTATGGTGTACACTTGTGTGTTGCTAAATATATGATTTTATTCAAACAGTGTTTTCTGTGTGATGCATTAAGTCTAACTATTATGCAGAGGAAGAGCGTCAGCTGTTGTTTTATTTTTTTCCATTAATCCTGTAATATGTTAACAAGTGTATCAGAACAGAGAGATCAACCTTCGGGTCTGAGTACCATGTTAGTGAGATACTAGGAAGTAGACAGTGGCCTGGCGGTTGCTAAGTCCTGCCCCGCACGTTGTCTGTGATGATGTCCACGGTGTTGAACATGTTGTAGTATCTGTGCTCCGTTGTGTAAGTATGACTTATCCTCTTAGTACGAAGCCGACTTCTCATTCTCTCTCCAGTGGGACAGACCTTCCAGGGCATCAGAGCAGGGTAGTCACGGACAGCTACTCCAGGACCCATTTAGTGACTTGTCTGATGGACGGTTCGAGCCTGTATCTGACCAGCAGTTGCACAGGGATCTGCAGGTGACTTGGATCAGATGTGGCTCATAAATGCAAGTGATCTGGGCTCAGAATTCACTTCCTGGAGAGGTTGAAACGGCAGCCGACATAGGGTCAGAAAGCCTCGCGTAGAGGAAGGAAACACTGGCCAAATTACTAAGGCTTCATTCTCTGGCCGCTCTTAGGCATTTAGCACAGGGCAAGGGCCTGCCTAAAAACTGGGGAAATGGGCGATTCTGTCATCAGACTTCTACTGAAAGACAAGACTAGAGTGGGTGTGTGGTGGCAATGACAGACAGGGTGCACGATTCAGGGAGCCTCAGCGTGCTGGCCCAGCGCGATTCCGACACGCGCTCTCTGAGCCCAGAGGCGTGCGGCCGGCGTGGCTGGCACCACCCTGCTGCAGGGGGCGTAGACTGCCGAGCGCAGGCTTCCTTGATGTTGGGTCTGGAACAAATGAAAGGAGTCTCTTTTGCAAAACAATAAAGGAGTATCTTCCTTGAGCTCATGTCTTCGTCACAGAGAATGCATCCTTTGTGGAGGACAATGATAAATCACAACACATATTTGAAAATCCAAACCAAGAAGCCTGAATTCAGTGACTTATGACCTCATTATGATCAGGCGAAACACGTAAGGAGAGAAAAAATGTGCAAACGTGCATTTTACCTGTATTTCCCCATATCTTAATGAACTGGGAAATACAGGTATTTTGTGAAGCACAGATATCAATTTATTGATGTCACTATATTTAATTGTCGTAGTTACGTTTATAAAAGCCTTTAATACATTTAAATCTTCAGATAATCTCATGCACTGTTAGTGAGAGGTCACACGTTTCTGGAGGGCAGTCCTGCATTAAGTGTCAACATTAAACTGCACGTATCATTTGGCTCAATAGTTCTTCTTTTTTAAGGGGCATTGTTAACGGAAAAAAGTTGACGTGTAACAGAAAGATAAAGACAAGACAGTTGTCCCACCAATAGAAAAATTGTCACATAGATTTGTTA